TTTAGATATTCAGCATGCTTCATACATGTTTAGAACATTAATTTATTGATACTAAGCTGTATCAAGATAATGTGAAAAACCCAAGTGTATTATGTATTACCATTTTTGATACCTGATAGTATATACATATATATATAAATTCGATACATCCCTTGAAAGAGAAAAGACACTTATCTTTTTTTATACTTATTTTCCAGACATTATTAGAATGGCTAACAAGTGTGCTTGTATTTAAAATCTTTCTTGCAATTATAACATCAACATATCGACACTAAACATGATACAAAGAGAAACAATCAGATCGATAGAAACTTTATCAATTTTCTCTATAGATTTGATATCTAAATATATTAATGTGTTACGTTGGATAATTATCATATCGATGGAATATATACGTAATAAGCACTATCAAAATGATACTACAATTACTAGAACAAAGACATACTCTTCAAAGATATTATTGTCTCTAATAATATTGATTTCATCTGTATCGACTAAAAAAACTACATCTAAAATTTATTTTACAACAAGTTGTAATATACAAAGAAAATTATGATTATCGTTGGTAAAAGAAAACATTTATTTCTTTCTAAAATATTTTTAAGTTTAGTTTCACATAAAGCTAGTCTTGACAGGACTACAGCTTTCTACCCACTGCTTGTAGCATCACAGTATCAGCTGTTATATTTGCTGTTGAGATTTTTGTTTTTAAATAATTCTATTTAAGCAATCTTCGTAATACTTGTGATAGATTAGTTACCTATTGAATATGAATGAAGTATCTTTTACATTAGTTTATATTATTTTAAAATACTCATAAAAGAAATATGAGTTTGAGCAAAAACCTATCTAACTCTTTCTCTATAGTAATTTCTAAACTTTTTGTAAATTCTTATTTTTAAAAGCAAAATTTCCTTCTTTTTTTTGTTTTTTTTTCAATGCAATTGTTTTAATGATGTATTTTTCTTGACTATTAAATCTATCCTTAAAAACACACACACACACACAATAACTGCATGCATATACATGCCTCTTTTATATTTTTCTGAAATCCAATATCCGTCGAATGAAAACGAAAAACGAATGTTAGACTTAGTCATATAATTTTGTGCATGTAAACAGATGAAAATAATATTCAATTAGATAGATAAGAAAATGTAAAACACTTCAATACTGATTTCATATTCATCATCATTGACATGCCGAACTGGATCGAACCATTTAGAAATCGATGATAAACTTTATCTTTTTTTTTATCACATGGGAATAATTGCATTATAAATGATCACTACTCGTTTTGTGTTTCAAAACGTGCTTCTTTTATCAATTTTACATTTATTTTAACCGAATATGACTCGTTCATTACTCTTTTCTAGTTTTTACATAAAAATTTCGTTGACCTCACTGTAAAAGTTCACTTGTATTTAATGTCTTCTTGTTTGTTTTAGTTTTATTAATGCCATGTAAGTACGATTTCTAGTTGATATTTTAAACCGATTGCATAAGATACACATTTGATAGTGCACTATACACACCATTAGTAATATTTAAGAATTGTAACAAAGACTGTTATTGAGTTACCATAACATACATGTAACTTCGAGGTAGAAAGTTAACAAAAAACAATATGATGAGTGAGTTTGTATATCTATTTGTCTTGTTTCTTTGTAAACTATAGTTCACCAATTATTGAGATCAAAATATAATACTTGCCGATGTTTTCTGAATATCTTGCGAACAAAATCAATTAAAATTTTTGCCATTTTCACTATGTTAAAAAGAATTGTGAAGAAAGCAAAACTTTCCTAAACTAGATCGACTACAAATCAGTCAAATTGATCGATTTTTGCCATATAGATTGTGACTGGAAGTTTTCTAAACAAAAATGTTTCAATCAAATGTGTGTTTCAATTTAGTCGATCAATAGCAAAGTCATTGTTTTTTTTTATTTAACCAAAGCAAATTCTTCTAGTTTATTCCATTAAACAGTTATAAACATTTTATTGGATGCCTTGAAATTATCGAACTGATCTTAAGTTCATCTAAACTATACTCAAATGAGTCGTGAGCTTTTAATGTGAAAATAGAGTATGTTCTAAATCTCTTATCCTTCCGACATCAAATTGCTTCAAAACTGAAAATAAGCATCATAGTTTGATTCAGTTTAGTTGAATAGTTCGCGTTCAATGCAGATTTCTAATCAAAATCTTTATAGTTAAAAACTGATCACCCTTGAATAATACATAATCGAAATAGTTTAAATGAGTTTTACTTCCGTCGAATTTGTTTTTTGTTTTTTTTTTTTGAATGGTGAAAATCAGAGATTTTTAGCTAGTTTCATTAGAAAGAAATATTCAGAAAACATCCAAATGTACTATAATTTGATGCTAAGAATAGCCATCGACATACTTTCGTTAATCTATTTGTGTCATCATTATTTTTTCTTTGATCATTCTATTTCCTTTTTAAATTTCCTATTCATTTTCTCTTGTTCATTTATTCATGTTACAAAACAATACAAATGACCATTGGCAAAATCTCTTAGTTCTCGTATAGTTTAACTATGATGTATTTAAGCAATGAATATTCCACGAACTAATCATTTATACAGATTCAATGTTCTATTCTTTCATTCTATTAAATTAAATCGAAAAATATATAATTAGAACATGTATTTGATACCTTGACAATAAGTCATAAAACGTGTTCATTAGATCTTAACATGGATTATTATTTTTTTATTACTTCCAACATGGCTATAAATAAAAATGCTATGATTGTAGCTCGTAAAAAAAATATGGAAAAATCGACATCCAATAAAAATAAGTTTTCTATCTTCATTTTCTTAGTATTAAAAAAGTAATCGTGCTATGAAAATTTTTAATAGCTTGATAATAGATCAAGCCATTTTAGCATTTAAGTATATTTTTCTTCACATTTTCCAAATTTAGAACTTATTTTCAATTTACTCCATAAAGTTAGTAACTTGGACAAGTCAAACAAAAAAGAAACAACGATTCGACATCCTTTGATTTACAATATAAGCTTCGTATAATCTTTTTTCTCATTACCTATCATGATAATAATAGTCGTTGGTAAATATACATTATAATATTACAATCTAAACATAACAATAGTATGACAAATATTATATTTTAACAGTAGTTTAATACACAATGAACCTGCATGCCATGTCGTCTATGTATTGCAAAAGATAATGACAAATGAAAAAATAAAAGCATATATATTGGCTTTTCTTTTCTCTAAATAATGCTGTCTTACTTAAAATATATTTCTTTTATCCGTCAAAGCTATTATTAACACTTATAAATATCTCTATAAATTTTACCTGTAAAGAATTTGTATTGACAAGTACAAATTACATTTATTGAGTTTATTGTAACAATGATCTTTGCATTAAAAAAAATAAACTCTATTAAAACACAATCAAAACAAATCTTATTGTATACCTTGTTCGATAGACTGATCGAATTTCTTATCTATTCGATATTTGATCTAACCAATCTTCATATATATATTTAATCTTAAACCTTTTCTTCTCTAACTAAAATAAGATTCTATTGAATTATATATGTATCATTCACACATTTATATTCATCAATTATTTATTATATTCGACTAAGAAAATAAACCTTTTTTATTAATTTAAATAGACACTACAATAGGTATTACTTATTTTTTTAATTCTACTCTCTTTTGTGTCTATTCACATTTTCTTCATTCTTCTTCAAATAAAAACATGAGAAATTATTCAGTTATATAAAATTGTTCTCTTAATACTAATCGTATAAAATAAATATATCTTCAATGATAGAAATACCATCATAAAAAAAAACGATGACAGCAATAATTGATAAAACAAACATTATTACAAATCTAAATGAGTTTGATAATTTAATTTGCATTACTTATCAACGATTCGAAATCCATTCAATAATGTAATTATTTCAACAATTTTTTTTTCTTTTATTCTCAATTTTCATTTGAAATTAAATGTCAAAGATTTACATTATTACAAATAAGACAACGATCATTTGTCCTAGACCTTATTTGCTTGAGAGTTCTATGTCATTTTTCTTATCAACAGAACATCTTTTCCATTATTAACGGAACAAACAATTATGTAGGCTGCTAATGTGTATATCCAAGTTCGACAATTCATTGATATATCAACTGATCAACACGCCAACACATACATAATATCTGATTCTACCATACCAGTAACAACACTCCTTGACCGCTTCGATAGGCTCGACGATATAATCATCGTTAGCACAATTCTTCTACTGAATGGGAGGATTGATATGTACGTGTATATCTTTCGTCATCTTGGAACCATTTCTCACGTCTGCAGTCGATGGTAATTGGTAATAGCATAAGAAAAAGAACACCAAGAAAAAGGTCTGATAACTTCCATGATAGATATGCTTCTATGTATGCGAAACATATTTTTTCCGTTTTCTTTCTCTCCTCTCTTCCCTTCATTACTTGATTATCTTTTATATACACAGTAGCGGCGCGCGCACGCGCGCTAGTATGGTCTTTTTCTTCTTTATATACATTTTGGCACCAAAGTGAGAAAGACGGACAGGAGAGTGAAAAAAGAAAAGAACTCTTCGCTTTTTTTTTGCTCTAGCCATTTAATGTGTATACGTGTGTACGTATTGTACAATTATTCCTTTTCTTCGTCGTCTTCTTCTTCTTCTTTTTCTTCTTCTTTCTCACAGCAGTTGTGCATTGTCGTTTTTTTTGGGTATACAATTCATTAGAGAGAGAGAGAAAGAGAAAAAGAAAAAAAAAGTAAGAAGAAGAGAGAAAAAAAGAAAGAGACGAACACGGTGTTGAACAGTTTTGTCTTTATTAATAATGATGTTAGCGAGAGAACTACTGATAGTTAGTTTCTCGATATCGTTGATATCATATCGTCGTGTTTGATTTTTATTCTAAAATTCATTTATTCATATTTACAAATTCAATTAATGTCTACTATTATTCAAAATTCTACGGGCAATACTGCTTCTGTTACATCCACTTCTGCATTAGATGATAATAAAAAAAATGACGCTATTGTTATCACTATTAGTGACGACGACGATGAGAACAAAATGACAATCAAACCGCATCATGATGATGAAGGTCAGTATGAATAAAATAGACATATAATGAATGTGTCATTCATTGTGATAGACAATTATATAGAAAGAAGGTTGAACCATTTTTGAATTATATTTTTTGAATTTTATATTATAGGTTATTATAAATGACAGGATTGAAATTGATTTCTTGTTTGTCTTTAGAGAATAAAAAAGAGAAAAAGAAAGATATAGATCAAAAACTACGGAAGTTAATCTGCTTTGTAGTTTTTAGACATTCATTAATGGAACGATTACCTGTGAGCATTACTTTCTTTTTTTTTTCTTTTCTTTGAAAATCAAAAGTGTTTGATGGTCTCTCTTTTTTCTTTTTTGTTAATATAAAACATAATAAATTTATCAGATTTCTTTAAATACACAATTCATTATTTGCTTATTGTTTTTTTTCTTCATATGTATGCTTGATTTAACTTTTTTTTTTAAAGAACCAATAGAGTTTCTCTTTTATTAATCAATGATGTTGCTTACTTGGTCTCTATTTTTATTGATCACGTAACTCGAACAGATTTTGACCTTTTCTTCTTATTGACCAGATAGTCTTTATCTAACACATACATGTCTATTCATTGTTCATCATTAATCTTGTCTTTCATCGATGTATATACATGAAAATAATGTTTCAATTGTTGATATATAACAGAGACCAATGACAAAATATTGTTTGTTTATTACTTTATATTTATCTATATGCTGATTTTACTATACGAAATACATTTTAAAAAGAAAAGAATTGATGTATTGTATACAATATTCTTCTCTTATAATAGAAGCAGTCAACTAGGATAATGAGAAAACCAGCTGTATACTGATTTTTTGACTATTATATATAATAATGTTTCTCTCAATAGGTGGTTTAAGTAATAGAATAAAAAACCTTGGACTGATGTTAGAGGAACACATGAAAGCGGACACATATATATACGTACACCTATGAAGTTGACAGCTATTCAACTCGTTATCGCTCACTAAGGTATACCTATCATTATTGTACAATAACGGTCAAATTACCTAACAGGTTGTCAACAGTTTTCAACTAAAAGAGTGCTCTTCAAGTAAACGAATAGAGTAAATCAATATATGTACTTAAAATTCTTCTTGTTTCATTTAATATATATCCATACATACATTGAATAATTATCCTTGAAATTTACTTGTCTTTGTATAACTATTTAGAAAGTACTATAACTACAACTTCTGATCCAATCACTGTATGTGAAGCACTTCGTCAACAAAATGATGCTCTTCGACAAGAACTTCATGATATACGACGAGTATGTATATTTTTTTTTTGGTTTATTTGTATATCTTTGTAAATGCTTTATAAGATCAACCTCTTCTAATAGCATACATATGTTGTAATAATTTGTTGTACTTGATCATAATCATTTTTGGGCCTTGTTCTGCTGTCAGCTATGCTCATATGATCTTTCTTTTCTTTTTGTTTCTTTTGACAATTGACCCTCGGGTATGATCGATAAGGTCACAAAATACATGAGAAATATGTCGCAGAAAAAGAAAAGGTTTCAAATGAATAATGATCTGTTATTATTTACTAGGAAATGGATGAAATTACAGATCAATTTCGTACAGAAGATGCTGAAGAATTTAAACAACTACAAGCAGAACTTGAAATTGCTGGTTTGTTTAATAATAATTGTCGAGTAATAGATATTTATATTCTTTTATATTCTATAGCTAAAAATTGTCGTATTCTTCAATTCAAATTACGTAAAGCAGAAAAACGAAATGAAAATATGGAAGCTGAAAAAGCAACATTAGAAGGTGAGACTGTCTGTAGGAGTTTTAACTTAAAATACGAAAACTTACAATTAAATAACAAAAAAAAGAATTTGTTCAAGATTTCATAAAAGAAGGATATGAGAACAAAAAAAGAGAAAAAGCCTTGACCATTCTTTTGTTTTCAATTTCTAAAAAACAAATATATATTCTAATTAATAGAGAAAATTCAACAATTAACACGTAATAATCATCGAGTTCGTGATCTTGATGAAGAATTATTAATTGCAAAAGAAGTTAGTGTTCGATTACATAGTGAACTTGAAAAAAGTGAAGAATCAAGAATGATAACAGAAAAATTAAATATGGCACTTAAACAACATTTAGATACACTTAAAGAATCATTTGATCAAAAATTATCAGCAGTAAAATCTATTTTTTATTTTTAAGTTTGTTTTTATTTTATTATATATAATTTAGGAAACCAATGATGATTATCATGCTTGGCAATTATCTGTTTATTTATATGAATCACTTTTTCGTGAATATATACTTATGGAAGAATTAACATGGTTAAATTCAAATGCAAGTAAAAAAAATCTTAATAAAAAATCTTCAACAAATATAAATGGACATGATGTATCAGATTTAATGAATTCATATCAACAAAAAATTTCTATACTTAATGATGAAATCAATCAACTTAAACAAGATATTACTAATCGTGATAATGAATTATCACAATTACGTATACAAAATAAAATATTAAAACAACGTAGTCGAAGTGTTGATAGAACAACAAATTCTAATAGTAATAATTATTCAAATGATGATGGAGGAAAAGATTCGAATCGTTCAAGACGTGGTGTTAGTGTTGATGGTGGTGGAAATTTACGTGAACAATTAGATACAGCATTAGATGAAATTCGTTTATTAAAAAATAAATTATTAAGATTAGAAGATGAATTAAATAATTCAGCTTTGGTACAGTTTAAAAATAAAATAAAATATCATTTTATTGTTTTTCTTTTTTTTTTTTTAGGAAAAAGAAACACTTTTAGTTAAACTTGATGAACAATCTAAACAAACTGTAGATGCCACAATTCATGAAGACCTTCATTTATTTACTAATAAAATTGGTAAATAGTTTTGAAAATTTTTTTTTTTTTTTTAAATATTTATTTAAAATTAATCTATGTATAGATAATCTGATAACATTTATTAAAGAAAATAAATTAGATGATAAAATTATTAATGATTTACAACAATCATTACGTTCATCTCGATGGAATAAACAAATTCTTGTATGTTATTTTATTCTTTTGCTTTCTTTTTAACCGAAGTAGTGAATTTCTATGAGTTGAACTTTATTTAACAATTTCAGGTGAACAAAAAAAAAATGATAGATTCACTTAAGACGTCACTCTTTTCGAACGTTGAAATCAAAAATTTTTCGATTTGCAGTATAACTTTAAAGTTTCCTCTGTCAAATGAGGGCTCTTCGTGGTTCATTAGTGCTTACACAAAAAAAACTATGTATTTTTAGAAGTACGCTCAATATTTTGATCTCTTAATTCAAATAAAAGGAAATCAAAAGAAAAGAAGCACTCTAAACCCATGTCTGGTATATGTAGGAAAAAAAACGTTTCTGCTCTATCAGATGAGAAAGCGAGGAAATTTCCAATCCTTGCAACGCAGATATTTTCGATTAGGAAGTAAGTGAGGTAACAAAGTCTATGACAACTTTTACTCTATTCATTGAGATCTATCTACTCTCAATATTTGAAAGATTTCTGATGAACTTTTCTTCAAAAACTTCGGAAAAGGATGAAGATTCAAGCATTATATAGATAGGCATGTATCTAAATCCAATACCAGAATTTAAAGATTGCATACTTATCTCATTGTTTATGAGCTATATCAATAAACTGTTACACCACAAATATAAAAAGATGTCTGACTTTGACAGTGATAATCACACAGAGAAGGATTTTTGTTTTTGTAAGAAATTGAAAGGAAATGGCATAACAATTCAAACCCAATATTTTTCGGTTAGAACTTTTTTTTTGTTAACTTTGACATGTGGTTAAACAGAACTATCAAAATCACTCTTTTGCTATTGTCCAGTATTATTCTTGTGCTTTAATTTTCTACTGACAAACATGTTACGTCACATGGTTCAGTAAATAAGGACATGTTTTCTTCATTTATGTAAAAAGAGAACAATACAATTTCAGTGCATATCTATATGTAGCTCTCAGATGATAAAAATATACTTGGTAATCTGTTTAACTATGTTACCAGATCGATAATAGTTGATTGATATTATTGTATACTGTTATAGCTTTTAACAGAAAACAATCGATTATCCATATGTATTGCATAAATAAACCTTTAGGCTTTAGCAAGTAAACAGATCGATAAATCAAAATGTTCGAATTATATAATAAAAACATAAAAATGAAATAAAAACTAAGTTATACATTCGAAAAAAAGTTTCCTTCTATTAATAGAAAAATCTTACAGCGTTTTATCTAGTAACATTCCGGAAACCTATTCGAAATTTGTATAAACTTTTAAAGGCTTTCAGACACAATCTCAGAAACCTTTCGAGTTAATCTTTTCTTGGATTTGTCACAATACGAAATTATTAATAGAATGTAGAAAACGTAGAAATAAATGAGAAATAACTTCATATGATAGAATAACGATTGTATATGTGTGTGCTTTATTATCTGAAATATTAGCGTGATTACAGGAAATTAAACTCGAAATCTCAATTTCCGATCTGTTTCGACACACATATAGTTCACATGGATTAATGTTGAGTTATATACCAATCAGTCTTATACGATAAATTCTTTTAAAAGAAAATTATTTAGATGATCCCAATAATACTTGCATTGTTCTTTTGCGTCGGAATAGATTCATTATTATAGATATTTGTTTGTTCAATCACTAGTAGAGTCCGTTTAGTCGTAGTTCGAAAACTTTGAATTCACCGAGCTCTAACCACGAGACAGAGCATCAAGACAACGATTATCTCTCAAGTACATAGAAATTGTTTTTTATTAGGATATAATATTCGATAAGCTTAGATGAAGTGGTTTGTACTTGGTCTATGGAGCTACATAAAAAATGTTGACCTTGTATTGAAGTTGTTTAATATGCAGATAACCATGTAACTTTATCGTTACGAGCATTCCATCAGTCGTAGATAAGTCTATAAATTTGCCAATTCACCGCCTCAATCATGATAAAGTAACAATCTATATTTCATAATGTGGCAAAAAATTTCTTAATGATATTTAACTGTCTCTGCATTCTTCTTACTTATCAACATAAATTGAGACTGACATGTTGCAAATATCTTAAAAGAATTATTCTATATCTATATGTATGATAAGAATAGTCAAAATGATCCTTTTTCATGGGAGTAATAATATTGATTATCGTTTATTTTAAGTAAAATAATAAAAAAAAAAATCTTTACATAATGTACTTATCATTTCTCTTGTAATTTCTACTTCTCAAAAGAATAATTTATTGATTTTGAACAGTAATAAAATTCCATACAAATATATTTCTTTAGGATGATCAAACGCAACCAACAATTATCAAAACAAATCAACAAACATCAGAAATCTTTCAACAAGCAAATGAATTTTTAACTCTTTTACAAAATAAACATGAAATACTTGACAAAATTCGTTATCGTTTAACAAATTTAACCTATGATGCAAATGATACATGTACATTATTAGAAGAACTTGATACAACTAAACATGAATTAGAAGAAAAACAACAACAATGTTATAAATTACAAGAAACTATTGATAATTTTCAAATGTCATCGACAACATTGGAAGAACAAATTCAAAATCAATTAAAAACAAATCAAACACTTGAAAAAAATCTTGAAAAACAAAAATCCATAAATAATGATTTACAAAAAGAAAATTCACGTTTATCAACATTAAATGCTAAACAATTACAAGATTTACGACATATTGAACAATTACGTCAATCTATCATAACATTTGAAAAAAAACTTGATCAAAAACAAACACGTGTTAATGAATTATCAATGAAAATTATTGAAAAAGAAGATATTATTGAAACAAAAGTAAAAGAATGTCAAAAACATCGATTAGAATTACGTGAACTTGAAACAAAATATTATACATTAGGAAAACAATTAGAAGAACAAATTGCTGGAATGACTATAGAAATTGAAAAATTAAATGTTGAAAAAGAAATGTTAAAATTTGATCTTGAATCTTTACGAATAAATCAACACAATGTAAGTCTTAGATGTAGATTATCAAATGAATAATTTAGCTTTTTTAAAAAACAATTTGTTAAATATTTTATGATTATTCTTATTCGTTTATGTTTTGAGAACAAAAAAAATCAAAACTTGGTTGTTTTTATATATCTAAAACATCCTTTTCTTTTTATTGGTTAAATTTGATAAATTGACGAATACTATTGATTGAAAGCAAGAAGTCCAAATGTGATTCTGAATCTATATTCTATCATGACTGATTTATATATACAGTACCCGACAAAATTATCCCCCACATTGGATCTCAGTCACAATATGAGCTGTAGATCTGAAAACTAGTGTGCACATAGTTCTCAATGAAATCTGATCAACGACACCACCCGCAACCCGATTGCATGAAGTATAAGAAAGTTATAATGTATGCATTCTGTCTCCATTGTGGACTTCATAACTCAGAAATGGAACGACTTTATGAGTCGAAGCTAATTTCATTTTGTAGCTCTACACTTTGGCTATATGTGATAAAAGTTTCATTAAAATTCAATGAGTGGTTGTTGAATTAGAACCATTTTATTGTAAGGATCGATATGTGGCAAAACCGACCTATCCCATTGTGTACTTCATAAATCAGTGAAAGTTTGACAGATCAACTTCAAACTTATAGAAAAGATTATCCTGCAGATCCTTATTGTTCTCTGAAATTTTCAGTCTTATATCATTTACTAGAGAGAAATGGCACCATGCTCAAGTTCTAGATGTTGTCATAGGTCTAGGTACTCGAATACTCAAGCAATTGACTTCATCTTTTGGATATATAACTAACATGTAAAGAGGCACAGTTCTACCAAAAAAAGTTACAAAAATCACTAAGTATCATGGAAAACAAAATATAAACTTTTATAGTCAATTTTTTCCTCATTCTGACAAAGCTGGGGGTAACAGGAAATGAGAATAAGGATTCGTATTCTTTTCACAATTATATACCAATGTTTACTCACGTTCTTACTCCTACGCTTACTCTGATTCATCATCATGATGAAAACTATCAGAAGACCCTTGACAGACGTGGATTAGATAGACAAATCCCTTTTAATTCTTTTATATAACGTTTTTTTGACACTGTTAAACAAAACAATAAAAGGGCGTCAGAATGAGGAAAAAATTGACTATAAAAGTTTATATTTTGTTTTCCATGATACTTAGTGATTTTTGTAACTTTTTTTGGTAGAACTGTGCCTCTTTATATGTTAGTTATATATCCAAAAGATGAAGTCAATTGCTTGAGTATTCGAGTAGCTAGACCTATGACAACATCTAGAACTTGAGCATGGTGCCATTTCTCTCTAGTAAATGATATAAGACTGAAAATTTCAGAGAACAATAAGGGTCTGCAGGATAATCTTTCCTATAAGTTTGAAGTTGATCTATCAAACTTTCACTGATTTATGAAGTACACAATGGGATAGGTCGGTTTGGCCACATATCGATCCTTACAATAAAATGGTTCTAATTCAACAACCAGTCATTGAATTTTAATGAAACTTTTATCACATATAGCCAAAGTGTAGAGCTACAAAATGAAATTAGCTCCGACTCATAAAGTCGTTCCATTTCTGAGTTATGAAGTCCACAATGGAGACAGAATGCATACATTATAACTTTCTTATACTTCATGCAATCGGGTTGCAGGTGGTGTCGTTGATCAGATTTCATTGAGAACTATGTGCACACTAGTTTTCAGATCTACAGCACATATTGTGACTGAGATCCAATAGGGGGGATACTTTTGTCGGGTACTGTATTTCTTGTGATATTTTTAAGAATAAGCATATTATTTTGTTTTTAATAAGTTTAGTTTTTTTTTTGAATAGTAAATCTACTTTCATGTATTTTTATATGAAAATTATCAGAATTATGAAGATAACTATTTTGAAATATACAAAGTTGATGTTGTCATGCATTGAGTCTATTACAATGATTGCATAGTTCATAATAAGATAGAAGTATTGAATATATTTTACAAGATGAAATTTGAACGCCTTAGTTATTCTCTTTATCACTTTAATGTGTAACGAATCAGTCACTACAGTTGATTTAACTATGGTATAGCTTAAATGATCTGTAATAATAGAATCGATAAAGTAATCTATCAATCAAAGGTATAATATGATTATCTGAAAAGGTCTATCTCAATTTTCTACAACTTCATAATTTCGTTCTTAATTCTTATCTTGTCTTACTATTATAAAATAAATCATCATCTGAATTCATATATATCTTTTGAAAAACAGTCGATACTTATATTTTATCTCAAAACTATCCGATGTCTATATTTAGGAACGACCAAAATCAATAGCAGTAGAAGATGAAATAGCTCGTATTAAAGCTGAATGTCGTCAACAGATAATGGATGGTGAAATTGAATCATATAAACTTCGTATAAATCAATCAAATAATGAAAAAGATGAATTATTAAAAATAAATAAAGATCTTGAAAAGAAATATAAAGAATTACAAATAAAATATGATGCTGATGAACAATCATGGATGCGTGTTAAAGGAGATATGTCTGAAAAACAACGCAAAGTAAGAATAATTATTTTATTTCATTTATAATTAATTAATATATTTTCTTTCTTTAGTATGATGATAGTATTAAAATAAAATCTGAATTACAAAATGCTGTTGATCGTCTTCGTCAAAAATTACATGATCTTGAACTTCATAGTCAAGAAAAACAAAATAAATATAATATTGATAAACAACAATGGGAAACACAACGACTTGAATTAACTGGAAAGATAAATGAAGTAAGAGAAAGATAAGATTTTTTTTTTTAACGAAGAAAAATTTTCTCATTTATTCTTTTAGTTAGAAGAACAATTATCTAAAGTAACAAAACGACAACGAAAAGATCTTGATACAGCATGGAAAAAAGAACGAAATGATTTACAAAAACAACTTCAACAATCACAACAATTAATAAAAGATTTACAAAAACAAATAACTAATCGAGAAGTACCAATACATTTAACAGAAAAAATAAATGTTTTAATGACAGAAAATGAATTATTATTAAGTAAAATAAAAGAACTTGAAATTGTTGTTGATGATGTTAAATTACTTAAAACTGAAATGCAACGTTTACGTGATAAAAATTCATCTGATTGGAATTATTGGAGAAAACAACAAAGTGATTTATATGCACAATTAAGACAACAACATAATATTAAAGAATCAATCTTATACAAATTTGATCGATTACAAAAACAGGTAACAACATTTGTAACATATAAAATCGTGGAAAAGAATTTAATAACAATGAAAATTTTTCTCCGATAATGTTAAACATCTAACTCAAATCCATATAGTCATTTTAATAGGCAGTAAGAGTTTTCTATCTAATGTATTTTATAGTAGATGACATAGGATCGCGAAGTTTTTAAAATATTACTCATGTGATAACTACCGGTAATACAATGTGCGCTATATTGGTTGGTTGTTTTTTTGAAAGTATTGTTATACTCTAATATTATTGATGTGACTAAATTGTCTGCACTATAGTCTATGCCAAGGTATAATGGTTGTGGGTATTTTAGTAATAACTCAAGAATAAAGAAAAAGCGCTATGGCTTTCTTGATTACTGAGAAATTGATCGATTAAGTGAATTCTTAATGAAAATCTTGGAAAATGAAATTCTGAAGATATTTTCCCCGTTGATTTGGATTTATAATATGACTAATCGATAGAAAAAGTTCTTCTCTTTGGATATACACAAGGTGGACACTACTGACTTGTTTCTTTCGAGAGCTATAAGATTTTTCTTGAAGTCTTCTATTTCAGTCAAACGATCTGTGAACACCCGGAGAAATAGCTAGGTAGTGATAATTCACCATGTTGAATCGAATAGTCATATTGGTGTTTAGGTTCAAAAAGTCGACTTCTTCATTACATGAAGACTGATTATGGAATTTCAGAAATATTGACACAACAGTGTCAAATCATTCAAAATCTAAAAACAAATATTAGCATTGAACTCGGCATTATGAATTACCTTTACGTAGCTACTTTTTTGAGTGAGCTTAAGTCAATTGGCTGAAATCAGAGTTATCAGTTACAGTCTTATAGCTCTCGAATGCAAAAAAAATAAAGAATGTCGGCCTTGTGTAGATCCTCCTATTAAAAGTCTAAATAAATCACTACAGAAAATTGTTTTTGAAAGTCTCATTTAGAACTCGCCTGATTGACATAGTGATGATTAATGAAATTTCTATATAGTTCGATCGATTCAAATATTCTGTCTTAAATGATGAAAACCATAGCACTTTAATTCTTGACAATCTTGAATTAATTTGTGTACAAAACACCTCTGCTATCGTTTCTAACTGAAGCCGAAAGTTGTAAGCGGTACTTTCGATTCTTTGAGTACCGTGCCGTACCGGCAGAAGTGCGACATGAATGGAAACAATAGTTGTCATGCCTCAGAAGATTACTTGTTAACAATGCCATTTTAAAGAAAACAACATGCAGTGGTTTCTCGCTTTGTTCTCTTTACAGTAGCATTTGAAAACTACTATGTTCGAGTTTTTGTTTTTACAAATCTCGCAATTATAATTCATCCAGGAAATCTTACTATAGAATCTATTAGATAGAAAAACTCCACTGACTATTAAAATTACTATCTGGATTTGAGTTAATTGCTTAATACTGTAGAACAAAAATACATCGTTACTAAACATTTTCTTACCATCTTGTATAGATTAGTTTTTAGTTTTCTTTGTCTTAGAAATCATACCTAGAAATATATATCGAAACTTTAAGAATAGATTATTCTGACATCCTATTAGTTGTATGCATTAATATCTACTAAAAATAATCACATATTTTCTAAGAACATCAAAGGAAAGAAAAATTCATTTTGCCCTTATAAAAATCTGTCATTATTTCAAAATTATAGTTATTTGCAATATAGAAAAAATAAATTCATTCATTCAAATTATTTCTTTAAAGAAAACAAAATAGTCTATTGCTGTAACGTAGTAATTTTACATAAGAAAGAGCACAAAATTCATTCCAGGATAGAACTTAGCAAGTAGAAAAGAATTATAATAATATATTTATATGAAAAATCTTATTCTAGTACAGCAATAGAAGTGGATTTACATTTTTCAAGCAATTTTCTGATAATTGATAAAAATGTTATTAGTTTAATTTGTTTTTTTATGAAGATGATAGTTTTGTTCTTTTTTTTTTGTTGACAATTCTATTCTTAGAAAGGACTTATCATCAAAATGATACAGAAATGCACCCATTGATATCATTTCAGTTAATTAAAACGCACATTTTTACAGCTTTGGCAATACTAAAAGGTCATCCACTGATCTCATATTGTAGATTAACCTTTGATGATATTACTACTATTTGCATACTTGAAATATAATAGAAGATAGGCAGAAATCTTTTAGATTATTAATTCAAAAAAAACAAAAAAAGTATATCTATTAAATCATTGCGTGCTCAAGAAGTTCCCTGTTTCGTTTTAGTCATACATACATGCATAGAGATGTCAATTGATCGATTGAACTGCCACTATTGAAACAAAAGAATATGTAACAAAATTAAAAGAAATATTGATCATTGAGATGATTTCTCTTGAGTCTAATTTTGTTTTTTTTATCCATATATTTTGTCTATAGTTATTTTGTCTTTATCAAAAAAAGAAATTCTTTCGAAACTTATTCGATAGCGTCATCGATAGAATAAAATAAGAATTGTCTATTAAAATTCTTTATTTATAGATTAAATCTGCTGGTGGTGAAAATAACAATCGTCTTGTTCGTGATATCAGTGTTGGTCCATTATCAATAAATAGTTTTCAAAATGAAGCGGCAACCAAAACAAGTTTATCAAATTTTAGTCGTGAAACATTAGCTGATGATATTGAACTTCCACATGGAACAATTGATGGAGGAGCTGCTAGTGCTGCTAATGAAATAGTTGGTCAAATGGATGATTCAATTATATTACAAGTAGCAATGAATGATAATGATAAACAACGAATGTTTAATAAAACTTATTCAGCACAAGAAAATACAGCAGCCAGTATTGAAGAAGTTTGTTTAATATATATATATATATGAAAAATAACATATATATAATTGATTTAATTTTCTATTAGATTGCAAGTAAGATTGATCGTGTTGAAGATCATCTATTTTCATATCGACGTTTTATGGATTTTATTCGAGCGTAAGTATGAATAAAATGATGCTTCATTTCCTTTTTAATATTAATTCAAGCAAATATAAGAATAAAGAAAAATTGCTTATTCTTATGACATTTTATCTGTATAAGATGAAGAAAAAAAACCGTGAATGACACGATCGTCTTTATTGATAGAGTGATGTATGACATGATCGGTGATAATTACTGTGTTCGTTCTATTCTCTCCCTCTCCCTCTCTCTCTCTCTTGGGACATGTTTGTTACTGAATTTTGTTGTTATTGTTGTCGGCGTTTGCATACAAATGTAATGTAGCACTCTAGAAGAAAAAAAAAAAAGAAGAAACAGAAGAAAACAAATATTAATAGAGATCTTCCTGTTCGATCTCACCGTATGTATCTGAAGAAACAAAAAACATTCTTTATATATTCATAAAGATAGAAGATCTATAGTTTTCAGACATATTACAATATTGTTTGTATTAATAAGAAGTAGGAAAATTTTCTCTTAAATCAACATGTGGATATCGAATCTTCAACATAAATTACGAAGTACACCGTTTCGGTAAGCAGAAAAAAAAATACAACCTTGGACTTCATGTTATTTCGTTGCTAAATGATATCAATAGATTCTTGTATAGTTTGTATAATGTTTTTGTTTTTGTTTTTCATAGAAAATCTGAAAAAAGCGCATCACTTGCTCGTGATGATAGTTTTACAAATATAGTAAATTCATCTAATGCTTCAACAGCTTATAAACGGTTAGCTTCTGCTCCACCGGAAAATAATCTTCCGACATCTTCAAATACAAATTCACGTCGATCTCGATTCGATGCTAATACAAATAGTAGTCATGAACATTTACCATTATTAACATCATCTATAGATGATACTATCATATCTGATGTGATGTCAAATTCAGTAACAGCAACAACTAATGGAAGTGGAATGGGTACATCAAAAAATCGATTTTTTTCATTAAGTCGTCGTTTTCGTTTTCGTGTACAATCACCAGATAAAGAAGCACAAACAACAACAACAACAACAACAACAACAACAACAACAACAACAATACAACCAGCATCTGTTCATTTTCTTGATGAAGATATTGATTTAGAAACTAAAGAACGAACAACAAGAAAATCCGATCAAAATCGACCATCAAAAGGAATATTAAAAGCATTAAGACATCGTTCACCATTTCGTTTTCGTTCAAAAGATGCTGTTATTCCTGAACAAGAATCATCACCACCATCACCACAACCTATACAAGTACCTTCTTCACCAGCACCATCTGTTTCATTGCCACCAACAGGTGCATCAAAAGACAATCGCCCAAAAATACCACCACCTGCTCCTACATCTGCTCAAACTAAACAACGAGGTCGATTAGTTGAATTAAAAAAAGCTACACCAAAATCATCATCATCGAATGGTACCTCAAGTCGTAAACCTGTTAATATAACATCAACTACAGAACAACCAACAGGCACAACATTAGTTAGACGTACATCTGGTTTAAAAGATCTTATACATAAATTTGAAGCAACACCATCTGATCGACCACCAAAACCTAAACGAGTTACAATGGATACTAATATGTCAAATGTTCCTTCAATAGAAATTAGTCAAGATGAACAAATTAACAGAGGAATTAGTCATTTAGATGTTCCCATTGATGATCAACAACGTACTTCAACACTTTCTTCGATCAATAAATCAAAAACAATTGATATTCCGGATCTATTACGAAATGTTGCCAAAGATCCAACAACAACAACAACAACATCATCATCGTCATCAACAACAACAGCAGCAAAAGCTATTTTAAGACATTCAAATTCAAGTCGACAAACAGCTTCATTTGATTCAACTGTAAGTATGGTTAGTACAAGTGATTCTATTTTAACAACGAACAGTAGTACAAGAAGGCCAACATCAACAGCAAGACCATTAATGATTTCTCTTGTAAGTCAATCAATTAAATTTATTTATTTTATATAATATTTTCTTTTTCAGAGCAAAGATGAATCATAGTATTATCGATTCAATTCAGTTGTTTTTCTTTTATTCTGCTGAAATTGTAATTGTCATATTCACATTTCGTTTTCTTTTTAATGCTTTGATTATAAAGTGATCAACATTATGAAAAAGAAACAATTGATTGATATAGATTACATGCAGTTTTTCTTTTCTTTTTTTATATCGAATGTGTATTGTATGATTTTAAGATGATTGTTGAATAAAGTTTTTTTTCAATATAATTTTTTTTTTCTATGAAGCTTTTCATTTGATAACAAATAATTAGAATTTTCTTGTTTTTTCTAAAATCTGTTAAGAAATAAAATGTGAAGTATTCGAAAAAAAAAAGTGTTTTATTCTATAAAGACTTGATATGCAATCTTATTAAGAATGAATTATGCACGACTTTATTGTTGTAAGACAATGTATCGATCGGTGATGGCTAAAGTTTTTCAATAAATATTTTATAAAATCAATAGTAAGTTTTCGCAACGACGGCACAGTTGAATCGTTTTAGCGATTTGCGACGATAGGTCAGCGGAACGGTTTACACCTCTAGCCATATTATTCTGAATTTTATGGCTAAATACAAAACATGATAAAATCAGGATTCGTCAAATTTTAGTACAAAAGAAAAATGATAAAAATATCCAAAGATAGAGTTGTTGAGAAATCTTTAGCAAATTACTGTTCAACTAGAGTGTTAATGAATTAAATTCTTCATCTTCATTAATTTATATAATATTGATTGTTGTATTATACTATAATAAAAACTTTTTAAAAAATGATCATATTTCTAACGAGTGATGCAAGAATTTTGTATTAATATTGTTTTTTGAAATATTGAAGAACTTTATGAATGAGTAAAACCAACATGATGTAGGCTTTCTAGTTGTATCAAAACATTCGAGCGGCAAAATCATAGGTTCCATAGAAAATTGTTTTATTATAACCTTGAGTTACCCTTGACCACACGCAGTGAAGTTTTTCTCATAACGTTCAATATAATTTGCTTTAGTAAAAGACACAATAAAGTCCAATTGGATATAAAATAAAGAGTTTCACTAACGAGAGAAGGTCAAATACTTCTCAGTCACTTTTGCATTGAAACTGTGTTCATTATGTCGATGCAAATAGTTCGGATTTCTAGCTTATTGCTACCGAAATACAACACTTTTACGGTATTTTTTAAATAAATTTTGTTGAAAGTGTACCGACTTTTAATTTACTTGTATCCTGAAATGAGAACATCAAATCTGCTTTTTTTATCTGAGTGATGTAAAATATACGTTATTAGCATAGTTAAATATGCGGACAGGAACACCGACAATATCTGAAACATTCACAAAAATCTATTCTCGTTAAGGCCTGTTTCCGCGGAAAGTTTCAAGTTGAAATTCGAAAATTAGTTTTTCTAGACCACAGCATTTATTGAAAGAACACAGTAAAAGTAGAGTATCATCAAAGCAATAAGCTACAAGCTCGAAGTCTTTGAATCTACATCACATGCATAGTCTCAACAGAAAATCAGTTGAATAATCGATAGTCTTCCCTCGTACGTTCGATTGGTAGAAAAAAACTTATTTTTCGAAATCACTTATTAATTGTGAACACTTTTCGCTAGCAAAGACCATTAGGTAAGTGCTGATTTTGAACTCAACCATTAACTTGAAAATATTATTTTTATTGGTTGACAATGCCCTATCCTAGCACTGTAAAACACGAAAAATAAGACGAACTTTCTTAGTAAATGGAGGTTTTCTTCTAAACTTTAGAAGTGTGCAAAGAATTTTTCCCATCCAAAGTTTTCTAAGAAATTTTCAACCTTTGAAATGAACGTTTTTTGACGACTTTGCTGTTTCTAACAAGAAAATTATCAAGGCTTCGTGACAAGTTCTTGTCACGCTATACTGAGAAGAAAATTAATGTAAAACTTTAGCACCACAAGTCATTAAAAGGCTTTGTTCATTTAAATACTCCTCTGTTTTAACCTGTCAAAACTATTCAGGATCTTTTAATTAACTATACTTACAATCGTCAGATGATGAATTATAGATATTGCACTACATTGATATGAAGTCACAATGAAAACGCTAATAATCAAGATTTTTGCATCGGATTAGAACGTTTAATGAGCTGTTCATGGATGATGATCACTAATTTTGCGTTTATACTTTAATGGTATACTTCTTTAATTTAACGAGAATTTGAAAGCACGAATGAACTTTTTCGGTAAACGCTTCTCTATTCTATTAAAATTTTTTCATTGCATTATTTAAGAATCATTGTGCGAGTTTAACCAAGTCGTCATAGTCATTCCTTTAATAAATAACTAGTAATGGAATTTATTTTAACTAAATTAAAGTCTTTATGTAAGTAGTGTATGAATTACACTTGCTTTTAGCAAACTTTTGTTTTTTTTTTCTGCTCATACTATTTGTTTTCTATTTAGGATAAACCAATGATATCGATGTTTAGTTAATACATGTCGTTAGTAGTAAGTCATAATATTGTCGATAATTAATCATAGGATAGTTTGATAGTGTTATTAATTATGAAAAGATTTTTACTGAAGGTAATTGACATATTCAAGCGAGAACATTTGAAAAAAATATTGAAATATTTGAAAAGAAAGTTAAACAAAACATTGAAAGTTTTCAAATTTTGCATGACTCTATCTTAATGCCAAATCATCTAAATTAATTATGTTGAATCTTGTCGAGAGCTTATTTTTAGCAGAATGTCTCAGTGACCTATTGCTTATTATAAAATACCCAATGATTCTGTAGAATAAAAAAAACCTAAAGATTTTCTTTAGTTAATATATACCTTGAATTCAAATAGGATTTAATGCGATTAATCATAAGTATATAATGTGAAAGTAAAATTAATTACTCAAATAAGAGATGTGACATATTCATCAAATGAAAGAATATATGTATTTAGAAAGATTTTTGCTTATCAAAAAGAAAAATTAATTATGAATTGTAGCAAAACAATACAGAATTGTTTTCTTTAGAAGAAATAATAACATTCTTAGAAGTACCCAACATATAAACACTTATGATATGACATTACGTTTAAAATAGTAAGAAAGAAGAAAAAAATACTAAAATTAGTTTGAATTATTTTTAAAAAAATCCGTTTTATAATTCAATGAATAGTATCAATGAAAAATTTTCATTGTTTCATCTGTCGATGATCTAATATTCTTATTTTTTTGTTAAAAAGTCTTTCCGTTGTACATAGTTTCAAAAAAAAAAAACAGTTTATTCAAGTTAATGAACAAAAAAGTAAAAAAAAATGAGAAAAGTAATTCATCTGATGTTTTAAATGTTAATGAAATCTAATATTCGAATTTTATAGAAAAAAAAAATAAATGTAATAAATATAAACATTATCTCTTTATTTTTATACTATTATGCGAGTTATATTTAGTAGAGTTATTGATATTTTAAAATGAAATATCAGTTACTGTTTAAAAATTCTAATGTTCTATTATGTTAATAAGACTACTTGAAAAAAAAACAAAATTATCATTAACATATTGAATTTTATTATCATGTGGGTATTTTTATTATTAATACATCAATGTAATTGTTGTTTTGAAAAAATAATTTAACGACGCCATTCGATAGATGAACGTGTTCTTTTCTTCTGATTATGAACTATTAATTTATTTCAAGTTTCTTTGTTAGGTATAAAATGCATGCATGACGTCAACTACTTTTGTGACATGCTCGAAAAGAAATATTGAGTAGAAAGTAAATGTAAGAAAAAAACTGGAGCGGCATGTTTTAGTAGTTCGCGATTATGTTTTTTTACCCTTTTTTTTTCCTTCTTTCCATTTTTCTATGTTCTGTTGGTGACTGACTAGGGTCTCTTATGGTTGTTGGTTACAATAAAAAGCGCAAGAGAACGGCAACATATTTTTTTTTGTAAATGATTCTTTACAACAATATATAGCACATCGAGTACTTATTTTGGTACGTTATTCAAATTTGAGTATTTTCGTTTTTTCAGAAACATATCACATATATTTAAAATATCAATAACATGGAAATAGCGTTTGATGGTTCGAACAATTTTTCATCGTTACATACATTTCAAAATGACTTATCAATGTTTTATTGTCAACCAAAACAAGAACAAATTGACGATGAACAGCACAATAATAATCTTTCAGTACAGCGTCATCGAATGATGATGATGGCTGAAAAAAAAAGAGAAAAAAAAGGAGCATCATTTCCATTCGGAAAATGGTAAGTTATTGTTTGTTGTAAATCGAAATAGAATCTATTTAAGAAATATTTTTATGAAAATTATTGTTTGTTTTTTTTCATTGAAAATTAAAACAAAAAATAATTAAACGAGCAAAATAAAAGAAACTACTATATTATGAATATTCTTGTTTTCTAAAAAAAACAAACTCTTTGTTTTTCGTCATTTCTATTCATCTCATTAAATGAATACTTAATGAACTTATATATTTTTTCTAGTCGAATCTGTCAAGATACTGCTACTGGAGTTCATTATGGTGTTATTACATGCGAAGGATGTAAAGTTAGTTATTATATCAAATTGCTAAATCATTTCCTTACAAAACTAAATATATCTTTTTCTAAAGGGTTTCTTCAAACGAAGTATTACTCAAGGTCTACCATATCGATGTTTTTTTGGTGATAAATGTATAATTAATATCGAAACACGTAATCGATGTAAAGCATGTAGATTTAAACGATGTCTTGAACAAGGTATGGCAATGGAAAGTGTTAAAATGGGACGTATACCAAAAAAAATTAAAGAAAAAGCCATAAGAGATTATTATAAACAACGAGAAAAAAAATCTCAATATGATCAACAACCATTAGAAGATCATCATGATACAGGAATATATTATGATGATTATCTTAATGATTTTGAAATGGATAATTATAATTTATCAAATTTACAAAGAGAATCAATATCATCTGTCTCGTCAACTTCATCATCGAGTACTTCAAGTATAAATATAC